GGGTTCCTGTGGCATCTCTGGGTGTTTTTGGGCTCCCTGTGGTCTTGAAATTCGACCCGTATTTCCGGTATTGCTACTACGCACAGAATGCGTTTCTTTGATCMTTATTTCGCTGCTGCCTTGCGTTATAGCTTTCATTTGAGCTGTTGTACTTTCTTCAGTCTTGGCAAGGTCGTATATTTGTTGGAATGTTAGCTCGTTTCCTAGCGCGATAGCATCTTTTCGAACTTTGTCGGAGTTCAATCCAAATACTAGTGTGTCACGCAACGTTTCTTCTTTGAAGTCTTGGCGGTATCCGCCTTCGTCTATAAGTCCCTTTGCCTTTGTTATGAAGTCTTCTAAAGACATGTCGTTCTGCTTCAATGATCTCAGTTGAAAACGAGCTAGGATATGGTTGCTTTTCGGCTTTGTATAGCCTTCCAAGAGGTCAAATACGGGTTGGAGTTTGAGGCTGTCGTCGTCGTTACTCCAAGTTGCCGTGTTGTATATTTCTAGGCCTTTGTCGCCGATCCAGAGTAGTAGGAGTCGAACTTKTTTCCCTTCTGGTGATTTCTCTAGCGGGCCGTCGAATATTAATTCGYACTTTTGTTTGAAAAGTTTGAATCTTTTGTACATGTCTCCCGGACTTTCCCAATCCATAGTGGGTGGCGTGAAACGATCAGCCATGATAGATCTTGAAATGTCGAAATCTGCTGTTGAAACTTTGATTCTTTTGCTGAGGATGCTTGAATATGATGGACTTGAATCAATATGTTTGACATCCCACTTCTGACGCCATGTCGAAGTTACTTGTGTGGGTAAAAATGCTTTATTCAGTAGTATTGTATAATCAGCTTACATGTGCTTCGTGAGAACCACGTGAGAGGTAATTCTATCTATATGCTAATCAGGATATCAATTTCAATCAATGTTTATGAGGAGGAATACTATGACAGCAACCATAAACATTACTTACGAGGCTTGATCTAGCTCTGATATAGATTGGTCCTTGTTTCACAATTCCTAGTAGTACTTTTCCCGTCAACTCGGTATCATTTGGCAAATTTATCGGATTTATGGCTGTCCCTAATGCAAATGCAAAAGGCAGTGCAAAATACAAAATGACCAATTTCTTTGTAAGTAAATTGGCGTTTGTTAATGTTTTTGAATATTTTTTAGCTTTTTAAAGTGAAAGTCTAGTTCTTTATACAATAACATCTCTCAACAACACAAATTTAAGCTCATTTTTATAATCATACTTGCTCGAACAGCTTAATAAACAGTTGAATATTTGGTAAAWAGTTATATTTCATTTAAAAATAAATAATCGGTAGAAAGATATAAAACTATTGAATGAAAGTCTTCTTTGTTTTGCCGATGGGACCCAGCGATAGGAGGCGAGCAAAGTTGCATTTTTTTTTTAACGAAAAACATACGATAGTTGGTTAAAAACAACCGAATTGTTAAAGATTTACGAAGCTAAATAAAGGACGAATATTTTTTGTCGTAATATGCTCTCCGTGTTATATKTCCTCCAGCATTAAAACAAATTAAGCTTATCTATAGAAATATAAAAAGTTTTGAGAGAAAGTCTTTATGATTTGTGGATTCGTCGAGAAAAATGCTTGTCAAAAATAATAATAATATACGATTGTTTGCTAAAAAAAACACACTTAAATTTTGAAGAACACTTTTTGATCCATCTTTGACTACATGAAAGTAGTTTTTTAATTGGTTTTGGTTTTTAACTTGTCCTAGAGCGATTTTTTCTGTGCATTTGAGAGCCGCATTTGTGAGTAGTTTTGCTTTGACATCAAGCGGGATTCCTGTGTTGTGTACACGGACGGACGGACGGACGGAAGTGACGTCAGCCAAGCCATGAAAAATGAACTCGATGGTTTACCATTTTTTCTTAAGTATGGTGCTCCGCGCGGGMGCTCCGCTACAACAGTGCCGCCGAATTTATTTTCACATACAAAGGTTAACGATAAGCGTTTCTTCTCTTTTCTTTTCACTTTCAATTAATGGCGCGTATGTTTCATTACATTCTATCATTATTCTTTGTCTTTGTCAGCCCGTCAGATTTTCTGTCGATTCCTACATCCGTCCGTCCGTCGCCGTCCTTCCTATTCCTAAATCCTAACATTTCATCCATCAATCCACCCATGAATCCATCCCTCCATAATGCTTTTTTATTTCCCTCCTTCCCTCCCTTCCCTCCTTTCTTCCTTCCTCACCTCCTTCCTTCCTTTCTTCCTTCCTTTCTCCCTCCCTTCCTTTCTTCCTCCCTTCCTTCCTTYCTTTCTTTCTTTCATCTCCTCATTCATTATTTATTATCTATATTATATATACATAGGGCATTGCCATCCTGACTTAACAAAGTTATGCTTCACCTGCGTAAGACTTAAAGTACAATCATCTTCCACTTTTTCTTTCAATTTTTTTCGGCAGTTTATACAGACTCCTGGTAATAAGAAATGTTAGCATAATGGTTGTTTAATATCAATGCATAACGTAATAAAAAAGGTGCATGATTGTCGTATACTAAGGGACAGGTCATTATTTATCCTATGAGTGTGTGTTTGTGTGGAGGGAGGGGGGTGGAGATTTAGGGTTGGTCGCAGTTTTTACACAACTGGAGGGGGCTCAGATATACATTGACTGGAGGATCACACGAAGATGAGGGCGTAGCAACCACTATTTAAAAACACTTCGACAACTTAGCGATATGTATACATATATATGTATCCCCCTTTTTCCTATTGTACATTTTTTTACATCACTTTTTAACCTGAACCAGCTTGAATGAACATGCCAGTCTCTTTTAGGATAAACCTAGACTTGGCACACGTTTTCCGCTTTTTTCATGGCCAGAGATCGTTTGAGGAATTCTACACCTGCTGCTTGCTCCTCGGCTCCATCCTACATCTGAACATAGATACTCGGCACAAAATCAACTCAACTTCTGTTTGTGGTCCCGTGAACTTTAAACTTGCTTTATGGCTGGAAATATCTTTACGACAAGCTAGTAGAGGAATAATTTGCGTTTCGTCTTTAGAATGTTTTCGATCGATGCTGCAATTTCCGCCAGAAAGGGCTTTAAACGAACAATAAGTTTCCATATTTTAAATTTTAAATGACCTAAATATTTCGAAGTCGTGATCACCAGCAATGTCGTTTTAGGGAACACCGCACGAGTAAAAGAGCGATTCCTGATTACGACACGTCAATCAAATGTTAGACCAATTATGTATATTATCACTTGGTGTCGCGGTTTATAGGACGAAGGACGTTCGATAAATCCAGTTCTTTATATTTCCCAAAAATATCGATATATAGTTTTCGCTGTTCAGCTTCAGAAATCAAGTGGGATCTTTAGCACTTGAAAAATATGGAAATMTAAGCGATCTTCATTTAAAAGGCTGAAGCAGACGAATTCAATCGTTGTTTTGAAAGCCATTGTTGATACAGATAACGTTTATAATATGACAAAACAACACCGGATCTTCGTTTAAAATCTCTCAAGAAGGATTCAAACTTCTACATTGACAAAGTTGGCATGGTTAGAAGCATAAAGATAAGTGTAAAAGCATTGGTGAAACTTCAAGTATTGGTTAGTGAGTGAGAAGCCTGGATTTGTTGTTCGTTTCCTGCTAGCAGAGCCTATTTTCCTTTGTTTTGGTGGAGAGAGAAAAATAGACGATGTAACTTAGCAACGCTGTCATGATTTTGACAGCCGCCCTCATCGTCAAATAATGTTTGGCGCCAAAACTACACTTGTCGGTAGTATTGCCGCGAAATACCGAGTAACGAGTCTATAAGCTATAAAGAAGAAAATGAGTAATACACCAAAATGTTCTCCACCAACGCCAATTAAGTACGCAAGGAGTCAAAGATAGCACTTGTCTCTTCTGTGGACAGAACTTTAGTTTGAACGTCCAAAAGAGTTTTTACAACGTTCAAAAATATCAGGGTCTTAACAAAGAATTGATCGGATCCTTGGTAAATCTCCATCATATACAAATGAGTCCGTAAGAGTATGCAAGAAATGCTTTCGAAGGGTAGAGTCCCTGGATAAAAGAGCACAGTCAATCCAGATTACGTGTAAAGCAGGCGAAAACGTTATGTAATTCTCTGGAAAAATTAAATCATATTTCAAACGAAAAATCCAGGGATGTCGGAGGGATTTGGCAGCTGAATGAAGGTACGACATGGAACGAAAGCGCTTGTGATAAGTATCAAGACGCGTGCAACGCATCTCCAGGTGAAGACTTCGAGTGGAAATATCCAATGAGAATTTTTGATAATGAAAATTCAGACCAAACTTGCTTTGTTCAAGAGCCACTGAAAGTGAAGGTATTATATTACTATTATGTGCAGTACTAAAACGTATAGAAGCAAAAAATCTATGACCTGTATAGGGCGCACAGCGTAACCTATACAGTCTAAAAGGAAGGTAACTACAATATCTCAAAAACACACTTTGATCGGGTACCAACAAGTCTTATTATTATTATTATCATTATTATTATTAGTAGTAGTATTATTATTATATATAATAGTATTTGAAAGCAAGTGGAAAATATCTCTAATTGAATGTATTG